TGAAAACAAAATTTGTAATAAAAAACATTGAATAAAAAATAAACAGTAAAAAAACGAGCAAAAAAAGAAAGGAAAAATAAAAAAAAAAAATTCAAAGAGATATATAAAAATGAATGAAAAGAAACTGGATAAAAAGGGTCAAAAGCCGCTTATCAGTGACATTCTAGGTTTCGTATAGACTATAGCCAGAAGCAAGATCGCTTCGCGAAGTAAACGGACAATCAAACCCGGAACACGTAGCACGCGAGACTATAGACTAAGCTTCCTCTCCCGTTGAGCCACAAACAGAGAGAGAGAGAGAGAAGCTGCATAATAATCTCAGTGTCCAAGTCTTCGAGAGTACTTGGTGGTCATGCTTGGACGCAGTTGCCAGCACGCGATAGACTTACAAAAAAAAAAATAAATAAATAAAAACTAAAAAAAATTACTGTAATGACTATATAGAGATTCTAAGTCTCTCTCTCTCTCTCTGCGTGCACCTGGAGAACACCTCCAGGGCCCAAAAAGAGATACCACCCAGTTGGCCTCTTTTTCTCTTCGACTTTTTTTTTTTTTTCTTTTTTCGTAGTCCCTCCTTTTCCTTCTTCCTCTTTCATTTCTCATTCCACATGCAAGGAATTACATACATACATATATATATTTCTTGTAAAGAACAAACTTGTAACCATATAACGATATTATATCGTTTTACATTCTTAATGTCTTGGAACCAATTTAAATGTTTGTTGCATTATTAATTTCCTATGTAGTTTTTACACGCAATTCAGTACAGTAAGAAACTAACGTTACATATTATACGTATTCTTCTTTTTTTTTATAACATCAAGTGTTATTTGATTCCACAACTTTGTTGTATAATCGCTTCTGGGAAATTCTTCTCAAATTATAGAATTAAATCGCCAATTCAAAGAAGAATAAATATCTTTGTATTAGTAAATTCAATAGTCATTCAATTTTACTAATTTTTTACTAATATTCGTTTATTCTTTCTATATTTGTAAATTTTCAACTATTTAACCTAATTCTCATTTAGCTAAATGTATATTTAACCAATTTTTATTTGGCCTAATGTATATTTAAACTAATTCTAATTTGGTCCAATGTATATTTAATCTAATTTGTGCTTAACCTAATCTATATTGAATCTACTTCGTATTTAAACTTATTGATTTTTGGTATAATATTTATCAGGCCATAATTCTTATTTGTCCGAATGAATATTTACCATAATTCCTGTTAAGCATAATCCATATTAAAACTAATTCATATTTAACCGAATTATTTTCTGGTTTAATATTTATCAGACCCTAATTCGTATTTAATGTTATTCCGTTTTGGTCTAGTATGTATCAAGCCCAAATTCGTACTTAGCCTAATTTATATTGAAATTAATTCCTTTTTTTGGATAATATGTATCGGGCCCTAATTCGTGTTCATCCAAATTTTTATAGAACCTATTTTTTATTTAGCCTAATACCCGTTTCGTCTAATAATTATCAAGCCCTAATTCGTTTTTAACCAAATTATTATCAGACCCTAATTCGTGTTTTGATACATTTTTATTGAACCTAATTCCTTTTTGGACTAATGAGTAACAGACCCTGATTCGTGTTTAGCCAAATTTTTATTGAACCTATTTTGTATTTATCCTAATTACTTTTTCGACCAATATATATCAGGCCCTAATTTTAATTTGGCTAATGAATATTGAACTTAATTATTATTTAACCTATGTCCTTTTTGGCCTAATATGTATCGGGCCCTAATTCGTGTTTATCCAAATTATTATAGAACCTATTTTTTATTTAGCCTAATACCCGTTTCGTCTAATAATTATCAAGCCCTAATTCGTTTTTAACCAAATTATTATCAGCCCTAATTCGTGTATAGACCAATTTTTATTGAACCTAATTTGTATTTAACCTAATTCCTTTTTGGTCTAATTTGTATAAAGCCCTAATTCGTGTTTAACCAAATCTATATTGAACCTAATTTTTATTTCACCTAATTCCTGTCTAGTAATTATCAGGCCCTAATTCGTGTTTTGATACATTTTTATTGAACCTAATTCCTTTTCGGACTAATGAGTAACAGACCCAGATTCGTGTTTAGTCAAATTTTTATTGAACCTATTTCATATTTAACCTAATTACTTATTCGACCAATATATATCAGGGCCCTAATTTTTATTTGGCTAATGAATATTGAACCTAATTATTATTTAACCTATGTCCTTTTTGGCCTAATATGTATCGGGTCCTAATTCGTGTTTATCCAAATTTTTATAGAACCTATTTTTTATTTAGCCTAATACCCGCTTCGTCTAATAATTATCAGGCCCTAGTTCGTTCTTAACCAAATTATTATCAGCCCTAATTCGTGTATAGACCAATTTTTATTGAACCTAATTTGTATTTAACCTAATTACTTTTTAGGCTAGTATGTATCAGACCCTAATTCGTGTTTAACCAAAATCTATATTGAACCTAATTTTTATTTAACCTAATTCCTGTCTAGTAATTATTAGGCCCTAATTTGTGTTTTGCTACATTTTTATTGAACCTAATTCTTTTTTGGACTAATATCTATCAGGCCCTAATTCTCATTTGACATAATGAATATTTTATCTTATTCGTGTTTAGTCTAATCTATATTGAACCCAATTCGTATTTAACCTAATTAATTTTTGGAATAATGAGTATCAGACCCTGATTCGTGTTAGGCAAATTTTTATTGAACCTATTTCGTATTTAACCTAATTACTTTTTCGACCAATATATATCAGGCCCTAATTCTTATTTGGCTAATGAATATTGAACCTAATTATTATTTAACCTTTGTCCTTTTTGGCCTAATGTGTACCAGACCCTAATTCGTGTTTAGTCAAATTTATATTGAACCTAATTCTTGATTAGCCTAATTTCTGTTTGGTTTAATAATTATCAGGCCCTAATTCGTGTTTAGCCAAATCTTTATTGAACCTAATTATTATTTAACCTGATTCCTATTTGATCTAATAATTATAAGGTTCTCTTTTAATAATTTTCGTATAATTTCGATTAATGATTTCTATTTTTGGATGTAGAATATGATTTTAATACTTATATCGATTATTATCGCGCAGTACATTGCAACAAAGTTGAATTTATTTCCGTTTAGTAAATCAATGCCTGATCTTAGCCCCAAGTGCCGTTGTTGTTGAGGCGACAGAATTTGCGGTTAAAGTCGCCTCCAATCAGACGGAAGGCAAATTTATTGTTATTTAAATGCGCACCCAGTGTCAGAGCAAGAAGGCTTTCCTTACATCGGTTAACCTCCTTGGGCGATAAACGTAAACTAGATGCTTTAGTCTCTTCTGTAAAGCACCACTTCGACTTATGTATATATACATATATACATATAGTATACGTGTCTCAGATTCTGTTACAGTTAAAGGGTTCACAGCACAAGTGGATCAATGGGCATGAGAAATATTGAATTATGACTTTTTGCAGGCAAGTAGCTTTCGCATACTTTTAAAGTTATGAAACAAAATCGTTTCAGGCAATTCCAAGTTCATTTGATTAATGGCCGTATATACTGCTAACGAATAATTTTACTGTACTTTTCGAATCACCGTTACAACTCTTTGTCAATTTTCCCCTCACCCCCCTTTCTCTTGCAATATTTGTGCATAATTTCTTTTTTTTATAATTTGCAAACTTTCATTTTTTTTATTTTATTAAATTTTTATGTCAATTTTTTTTAATTACTTTTCTGTGTTAATTGTTTTTTTTAACGTTCAATAATTATTTTTCTCTAGTAATTATTTTTTTTTTACAATTATTTAATTATTTTTCTCTATTAATTATTTTTTACATTATTTTTTTTTCTAAATTTGCGATTTATAAAAATGAATACCAAAGCGATTTCAATAATTAAAAAGAAAATTTATTAGGAAATTTTATTTTTAATTTTTTTTTTTTGAAATGGAAAAAATTATACAAACAGTCAACGTTTGAAACTTATAAAATTTATATTTCTTTGTCGACAGGAAGTTGGTAATAGCAAATTGCACGCAACTGAGTACGCGCATTCTAATTTAATTCCGCACTGAGATGTCAGCAATAAATGATACACTTCTGATGTGTTTAATTTCAAATTACATTTTGTTATTTCAAGTAAAATTCAATTCATTTTTAATCCATCAATTAATTTTATTTCAATTTTCATCAAATAATTAATAATAGGATATAAAATTATATAATAAATAAATAAAAAAATACAAAAAATACTTGTATAGTTTTACTTTTCTACTTTTTTCAAAAAAAAATTTAGGAATTTGAATTCTTTTATTTTGAAATAAGAATCAAGTGGTCAATTTTACGAGTTGAGAGAGAGAGATAAAAAGAAGAAGAATTGCTTCTTATACCATCAGTGAACATTGAGAAGCGTAATTAAAGCTTTCGTTCCATCGCAGAATCGCACGCAAGTTATCCAAGGACAACCAATGTTATATATCTAGAACTAACTCTCTCAAGAGAGGGCTCATTGTCATAATTATCCAGTAGACTGCATAATGAACACGAGAGCCAAAGAGAGCTCATTTAATATTCACTTCAAGTTTCGATGTGCAATGACCCTTAATTCCTCATTCCTTTTTTTTTCCTTAAAAATACTATTCGCTTGTCATTTTCTTTTTTTTTCACGAGAATTTATTGCTTTCTTTTCAGTCACATTCTCTCTTCTTTCAAGTAAATTTACATTCATCTCAATTTTTTTAATACCTCTTATTATTATTAGTTTTTTCATTATTTTTAAAAATTATTATTATAAAATGTACATTTAACCTAATTTTTATGTAATGTATATTTCACCTAATTCTCATTTGGCCTAAAGTATATTTAACCTAATTCCCATTTGGCCTAATAAATATTTAACGTCATTCTTATTTTGACTAGTGTATATTTAACCTAATTCTAATTTAGTCCAATGTATATTTCACATAATTCGTCCTTAGCCTAAAGTATATTGAACTAAACTTTTATTTAACCTTATTCCTTTGGGACCTAACATTTATCAGGCCATAATTATTTGGCCGAATTAATATTTAACCTAATTCCTGTTTAGCCCAATCTATAATAAACCTGATTCCTTTTTGGTCTAATACGTATCAGGACCTAATTCGTGTTTAGCCTAATTTTTATTGAACCTAATTCGCATTTAACCTAATTCCTTTCTGGCTTGGTGAGTATCAGACCTTAACTCGAGTTTAGCCAATTTTTTATTAAATCTAATTCGTGTTTAACCTAATTAATTTTTAGGCTAATATGTATCAGACCCTAATTCGTGTTTAGCCAAATATATATTGAACCTAATTCTTATTTAATCTCTGTTGGGTCTAATAACTATCAGACCCTAATTCTTATTTCGACTAATGAATATTTAACCTAATTTGTGTTTAGCTAAATCTATATTGAACCTAATTTAAGTGTCATCAAATAATTCTCCGCCCCTAATTTGTTTTTAGCCATATTTTTATTGAACCTAATTCGCATTTTACCTAATTACTTTTTAGGCTAATATGTATCAGACCCTAATTCGTGTTTAGCTATAAATATATATTGAACCTAGTTCGTATTTAATTTAATTCCTGTTGAGTCTAATAATTATCAGACCCTAATTCTTATTTTGCCTAATGAATATTTAACCTAATTCGTGTTTAACCTAATCTATATTAAACCTAATTCGTATTTAACCTAATTAGGCTACTATGTATCAGACCCTAATTCGTGTTTAGCCAATTATATATTGAACCTAATTCTTATTTAATCTCTGTTGGGTCTAATAACTATCAGACCCTAATTCTTATTTCGACTAATGAATATTTAACCTAATTTGTGTTTAGCTAAATCTATATTGAACCTAATTTCTGTGTCATCGATTAATTCTCCGCCCCTAATTTGTTTTTAGCCATATTTTTATTGAACCTAATTCGCATTTTATCTAATTACTTTTTAGGCTAATATGTATCAGACCCTAATTCGTGTTTAGCTATAAATATATATTGAACCTAGTTCGTATTTAATTTAATTCCTATTGAGTCTAATAATTATCAGACCCTAATTCTTATTTTGCCTAATGAATATTTAACCTAATTCGTGTCAAACTTAATCTATATGAAACCTAATTCGTATTTATCCGAATTATTTTTTTGGAATAATTTTTTACTTATTCCTGAAGCAAAATTCTTGAGCAAAATTTCATTGACAATTTGTTATTTTTAACTAATTCAGATTTAGATAATACTAAAAATAAATATAAAAATAATTAATTTTTAAGAGGGAAATATTTTGAAAGAAATTCACTTAAAATATATAAATGAGAATTCCTGTGACTTATCGAATACCCACATGTGTTTGTAAAGTTCATGTATATATATATATATACACGGGTAATGAGCAACGTGTTCCATTTTATCAGAGGGAGAGCGTCCTAATTTTTTTCTTTCACTGTTTAATCTCGTGTGCAATGTGTAAAGTAGTAGCAAGCGAAACTCGTTGCCGCTTTTATATATATATATATGTAGACGGGATACGCGATTTTCTTCCTATCCAATGTTAAACACGCAAGCAAACATCGCGACAGTGTTTCGCGACTCTTTTTTTTTCTTCACTTCTTCTTCTTCTTCTTTATTTCCTCAAGATAATTACTAACCACATTTTTACAAATAATTCCAATCCCAATTAAGACAAATTTCTTCTTATTTCTTAATTGCTTTGAATGAAAAAAAAGAAAAAAAATAGAAGAAAATAGACAAGTTAATTTAATTTAATTTTTTTCTTTTTTCATGGTATTATATATATGTATATATATATACACCTGGTTGGGCACGTGTTCACCGTTACTGATCAAGGTGTCCAGGAAGTCGGTTAAATATTAGCCATGCAAATTTGCTATTGCACCATTGAGCGTAAATAAAATCTTTGAAGAGAATATAACAGCTGTGCTGTCCAAAGCGCGGTAATAACACTATATATATATATATATATATATATATATATATATATATATATATAGACTTGTCTGTGGCCTATAAAAAAAAAATAAATGATGGAAAAAAAATAAATAACTGCAAACATTAAGGCGCCGGCAATTCTCTATAGACAGGTGATGTTTCACTATTATAATATTTGTCTCAGAACCTAATAACTTTTTATTTATTGTAAATAAAGAAAAATTTAGCACAAGTAAAATTTTATTTGTGCTAAATAAAAATTTTACTTGTGCTAAATTTTATTTTCCGCAAAATAAAATTAATTTGAAGCAAATAAATAATTATTTATTTCGTATTTAACCTAATTACTTTTTCGACCAATATATATCAGGTCCTAATTTTTATTTGGCTAATGAATATTGAACCTAATTATTATTTAACCTATGTCCTCTTTGGCCTAATATGTATCGGGCCCTAATTCGTGTTTATCCAAATTTTTATAGAACCTATTTTTTATTTAGCCTAATACCCGCTTCGTCTAATAATTATCAGGCCCTAATTCGTTTTTAACCAAATTATTATCAGCCCTAATTCGTTTTTAACCAAATTATTATCAGCCCTAATTCGTGTATAGACCAATTTTTATTGAACCTAATTTGTATTTAACCTAATTCCTTTTTGGTCTAATGAGTATAAAGTCCTAATTCGTGTTTAACCAAAATCTATGTTGAACCTAATTTTTATATAACCTAATTCCTATCTAGTAATTACCAGGACCTAATTCGTGTTTTGCTACATTTTTATTGAACCTAATTCCTTTTTGGACTAATATGTATCAGGCCCAAATTCTCATTTGACCTAATGAATATTTCGCTGGGTTAGTGGAAAAAAAGGACACGTCATAGTTAAATCAAACGGACGTGTCCTTTTTTCCCACTAACCCAGCGATTTAATCTTATTCGTGTTTAGTCTAATCTACATTGAACCCAATTCGTATTTAACTTAATTACTTTTTAGACTAATGAATACCAGACCCTGATTCGTGTTAGGTAAATTTTTATTGAACCTATTTCGTATTTAACCAAATTTCTTTTTCGACCCATATATATCAGGCCCTAATTCTTATTTAGCTAATGAATATTGAACCTAATTATTATTTAACCTTTGTCCTTTTTGGCCTAATATGTACCAGGCCCTAATTCGTGTTTAGTTAAATTTATATTGAACCTAATTCTTGATTAGCCTAATTCCTGTTTGGTTTAATAATTATCAGGCCCTAATTCGTGTTTAGTTAGCACAGTTTAGTATTATGTTTCACTATTATAATATTTGTCTCAGAACCTAATAACTTTTTATTTATTCTGAATAAAGAAAAATTTAGCACAAGTAAAATTTTATTTGTGCTAAATTTTATTTTCCGCAAAATAAAATTAATTTGAAGCAAATAAATAATTATTTGGCTATATTTTTTCTCTGGATGTAGTCTAGCAAGGAGGGGATTTTTTTTTATTCCCTAGTGTTAAAAAAGCTTATTTCTTTCCCTAGTGCTAAAAAAAAGTCACTTTTTTCTTTTCAAGAACAAAATTCTCATAAAAAAACATTTTTTATCCATTCATCTATATATGGATTATCAATAAATATAGTTAATCCTCGCCTAAGGATTAGATATCCGCAATTTTAGTCGATTTTTATAAAATATTTGCAAAAAATAAATTTCAAAACGTAGATCATCTAATCGTTTATAGACTTTCTTTCTCTTGACGGAAACTGCTCTCACCTACATATATATATATATATAAATATGCTCACGATTTATACATATATTATATAAATATATTTTGTTGTAAATGAGAAATATGAAGAGTGTATATATATAAGGGAGAGTCTCATGAAGTCCTCGGGCTTGCCACATTTGCTCACCTGGCACTTTCTGTGTCGTTAGAAACGAGTCAAGTACCTCGTTGTTGTTGATTGGTGCATGCGCATAATGACTATCAACAACGAAGGATTATGGTCCCACATGTATTTTGTTGAACCGCGCCTCGAACTTGTATGTCAGGACTAAGTGGCGATTTCATCTCTCTCTCTCTCTCTCTCTCTCACTCTCCCTCTTTCTTTGGTCCAGGTTGTAATTTGTCCTCAACCACCTTGACTTTCATTCTGAACAGTTCCAGGAAACAAAAGTGATACTGAAAGCGAAAGTTTTAGTATATAAGAGAAGAAAAACGATCCTTGTTGGCTTAAACAGCAATTCACTAAATTGGACATTTTTATTTTATTCCCAAGAATCTCGTCAAGATTAATTCATTCTTTACCTTCAAGTATATATTTTCCTCTGATTCTTCTTTTTTTTCTTTCTTTACTTTCTTATTTCTGTGATTTTTTTAGCGTTTTCTTTGATTCCTTTACTTAAATTAAAATTTTCTCAATGTCTTGAAGTATCTTCTGTCTCTACAGTATTTTTTGTATTTTCTCTATCGTATTTAACCTAGCTAATTCATTTTTCCTCTAACATCAATCAAGCCCCTAATTCGCGTTTAAAGTAATTTTTAATGGGCCTAATTTGTATTTGACCTAATTCCTTTTTGGACTAATCAGTATCAGGCCCTAATTCTTGTTTAGCCAAATTCTTATTGTACCTAATTCCTTTTTGGACTAATATGTATCAGACCCTAATTCGTATTTAGCCAAATATTTATTGAACCTAATTTTTATTGAACCAAATTCTTGTGCCTTCTAATAATTATCAGGCCCTAATTCGTGTTTAGCCAAATTTATATTGAACCTACTTCGTATTTAACCTAATTCCTTTTTGTCCTAATACGTATCAGGTCCTAATTCGTATTTACCCTAATTTTTATCCTCACTCGTATTTAACCTAATTCCTTTTTGGCCTAATGAGTACCAGGCCCTAATTTGTGTTTAGCCTAATCTTTATTCTATCAAATTTATATTTAACATAATTCCTTGTTTGCCTAATGAGTACCAGGCCCTAATTTATGTTTAGCCTAATTTTTATAGTACCTAATTCGTATTCAACATAATTCCTTGTTGGCTTAATGAATACCAGGCCCTAATTTGTGTTTAGCCTAATTTTTATTGTACCTAATTCGTATTTAACCTAATTTCTTGTTGGCCTAATGAGTATCAGTCTATAATTCGTGTTTAGCCAAATTTATATTGATTCTAATTCTTATTTAACCTAATTCGTGTTTAGCCTAATATTTTTTTCCCATTAAATATATATTAAGACTAATTCTTATTTAACCTAATTCCTTTTCGTCCTAATACGTATCAGGCCCTAATTCGTATTTATCCTCATTTTTATCCTCATTCGTATTTAACGTAATTCCATTTTGGACTAATGAGAACCAGGCCCTAATTTGAGTTTAGCCTAATTATTATTCTATCTAATTTATATTTAACATAAATCCTTGTTGGCCTAATGAGTACCAGGCCCTAATTTATGTTTAGCCTAATTTTTATAGTACCTAATTCGTATTCAACATAATTCCTTGTTGGCCTAATGAATACCAGGCCCTAATTTGTGTTTAGCCTAATTTTTATTGTACCTAATTCGTATTTAACCTAATTTCTTGTTGGCTAATGAGTATTAGACCCTAATTCGTGTTTAGCCTAATATTTATTTTCCCATTAAATATATATTAAGTCTAATTCATATTTAACCGAATTTCTTTTTGGAATAATTTTTTACCAATTCCTTAAGGAAAAAAGTCTTGAAATATCTTTACAATAACAGATTTCACTCAACACACGATTATTTGAATATTTCACTTAATCTTTTTGAAAAAACAAATTGCTACTCATTGAATATGATAAATTTGCAAATCGTGTGAATATAAAACAAATTGCATTTATAATATTCAACACAAACTTCATGACATTTTGCCAACTTATACATATATGTGTATATGAAAATATTTTTATCCGCTCATATTCGCTATAATATAAAAAAAATTCTAATTGCGCATATATATATAAAATACGCGCTCGCGCGAATTTATACAAA